ACACACTAGTTGTTATTTAACTTCAATTATCTTTTATTTCTATAATCTATAATGTTTTATTTTAGATAAATCCACAGGAACTACATCATAAATCTCACAAGAATAATAACTTTTAAAGTATTAGTTTTCAACATAATCAGGTTGTTTTTGGTAAATTATAAATAACATTTTACAAGAACGATAATCTTAGTGAAAAGATAAAATTGTTCAACTTCATTTTTAAAACATGGAGATGCTAGGCTCTTCTCCATGTTGGTTGTCATTAAAACACTACTCCTAGGTCGAACTAGGACGAAAAAGTTGTGCAGCCATTAATTTTCACTGATTCACTTAAAGTCAGTTTGTAACAAAAGCTACTTTCCTATTCTACAAAACTTCTATCGGAATTATTTAAGAAGATACAATTATCCTGTTATAATTTTGAAATCTATGCATTTTATCACTTTTGTTCAAAACAAAAATAATGATCACTATAGGAATATAATTCTTGTTTAATAAAAACAATTTGGATAAATCCAAATCTCAAAAGCCACTGTTATAAAACTTTCATTAAATTTTATTTGATTTGGTTAAGGAAGAATATGAGTAAATTGTTAATTTGCAATCATTTTTTGATCAATATACCAAAACAAATGACAATCAGCCTAATCTTATCTACTCCAAAGAAAGTAATTAATTAAAACAGACCAGCAAGTATTACATTTTGAATTGTTTAATATAGTTAATTAAAAAGTCGTTTAATAAATGACATTTCAAAGTAGATCGAACTGATACAAATATCACTAAGATATAAGGCACTAAATTTAATCCAAGTTAGAAAGAATATTATCAACAAAACTGACTAGGTACTGAAGGATATATCACTATGTGCTAATATCAGTCCAAACGTACAGATAAATCTAAAACATTTTATTGACTAAATATTATGGAGATATTTTTATATAGAATAAACAATTAAGTTTGTTTAAAACTATAACACAGATATGTAAATAATCAGTTACCATGTGTAGACGTTGTTTAGTCTGTTAAATATATATCGCACGGAAAATTATTACTCTGAATCAAACAAACAAACTATTAGGGGATTTGTGGGGACTGTAATGTTTTCACAGTTAAAAGACAAAATGATTTTTACCAAACTTTCTATTAAAAAACCGGGATATTTAGATGGTTGTTTCGTCCTACTCTCGGTCTTCTGAGGTGTGCGCATCCACGACTACGCACTTCAGAGCCCTTAATAGGAAAAAATAGCCACTAATGGAATCCCGGTTATGAATGGTAGATGATTCAGCTAAAGACAGTCAGTTATTTCAACTGACAAAAGTGATTATTACAAAATGATTGATAGTGATACATAACTTACTCAGCCTATCATATACTCACAAAAATTATTTTTTCAAAACTCTATGCAATCCAATTGAGTGTGAAGAGAAACGTTTCAGTTGTTGCCACAATCATTGAAAGTAATTTATTCACGTATATAAAATCTGAATATAAATATTAGTGTTGTGCAAAATCCAGTCCTAGAATATGTATTACAATCAGTATCATTCAACCGTCACTGAAATTTGCAAAATTAGTTGAATTAGAGTATCTAGGTGTTTTGTTTGACGTTGATCAACGTATATTCGTACGCAAGAAATGAAGATCAAAATCAAATGTCACTGTTTCATATTGAAAGTATTCAGTATGTAAGGTACTTTTCTCATGTTGTTAGTCTATGTCAATGGATGAAACATAAATTCACTTTTAAGTTATATTATTTTACATAGTGTTTGTGCAATCTAACATTCAATTTAATCGAGAACAGACATCAGTTGGAGTTACAAACAAATCATATTATTTCTATCATAAAATTCCATTTCATTCAATTATTTGAAAACACATGTACATGAGTGAAAAGGAGAAACTAAAATACATTTATTCCACACAACGAGAACGTGAGATTGTGAAGATTTCGAGAAATGAGAATGAGTATAATTGAATCAAATAAGTTAAGGTAGGTGAGACGAATTAGTTTATAACACAAGAATCAGTTCAGTTAGGATAAATGCAATGAAATCAAATTCTTGTAAATTCAGAAGTTTCCCTCAATTTAAGAAGGAGTATAGAAAGAAATTTCTGTTCTGAGCTATGTTTGACAATACCTTAAGGGGCGGAGATGCACAGTCTCTAGAGACTTAATCAGAGAGTCATGAATGCACGACGATGACCACTCGTGTATGGCTCTTATTGATGCCACGACACCATCACACAATCTGGACAACTCCGTCATCCCACTCAGCCGCACAGTCAGAAAATGATGCACAACGTGAAACCGGATGAGATGATACTTGTGCTACATGTACAACACGCCGAAACTGGCATTTCAAGATGCTGGCATCAATCAAATTACCTTCACCCAGTCAAACAAACATCACCGGACTTCTGCATTATGAACATGATGCTGCCGCTCAATGTCAGAAACTCTTCTTAGATCACGATGATCAAACTCAGTCAGTCAGCGAACATCCTCAACTTCGAGAGGCCAAACCTCACAAGCATGAAACGAGACTGCTATTACTGACACTTTGTAAGTTCGACCATTCATAGTCAGACTCACATCACGAAGGCTCAAAGAAAACGCAGATTGGCATGAGTCACTCTAGCTTTCACCATGCATAAGTGGATCCCATCGATCACACAACCATCAGCACTTACACAACGCGCCAGATACAGACAGATATACAAATTTCCCAACCACTTTTCACTGCTCACAACCAAGAGTGATAACGGACACAGCAAAATAGCTCTGCATTTAGAAACTGCAAAGCACATGTCGTACCTACGGAGAGTGACTAAGTGTGGATTGCATGAGTATCACTGCATAGTAGGGAAATATCTTCTACATACTCAAAAAAGAAAAGTTTCTTAACGGTTAACAGATTCACACTACCATCACTCGCCTCCATCGGAGCTGTTTCCAGATCATTCATTATCGATGAAGAGTTGGTTAGGAATGGTGAGATTGAGCAAACTTGTGTAACTTCGCTGCTTGAATGGGACAATGGAGAGAGGCGGTGTCACACCCTCAGTTCACCTGATGCGTCTGTTTACACATGCTTCAAGATGTCGATGAACGTCGCAGAAATACACACGCTCAACGGACAATCCCAGTAAACACTCCTGACCCACGAATCGTTAGCAGGTTTTGATACAAGAAGCACAGCAGTTGTTGGTCTGTATTAGATAAGTATGGTGGTGATATGATACTTGGTGGATTGTGATGATACAGTCAGCACATCATCGAGTTGAAGAAAGATCAGTTTGCTGCTCATGAGTCAAGCTTTTCGGGGTTTTAACAGTCTGAGAAGCATGATGGAAGCTTCTGTGTGAATAGCCAAGTAGTATCAATAACATTTGAAAGTAAAGTGAACCTGGAAGTCAAGCACACGAATCTCTGGTTGGTTAATGAGTAACATCATTATTTGGGTCTAAGGGCTGTTAACATCACCTTATCACCTAGGTTCACCGATATAAGCATGCTCGTTACGAACCTATCATTACTGTGACTGAGGGTTATCACACCACACATCGAGATTTATTCCGAACTCAAGATCACTGTTATACGCACTCTTCAAACTTGTTTTCGGTAAAGCATTTGAATGAAATCTATTTCGTGATGAAGTTATCCAATTTTTCCATTCATGTTTAAAATGGATTTTGTAAATTGTTCAGTAACTGTGAAAATAGTTTGGTTATATCAAATTTAGAAGTGTAGGTAAGTAAGGTCACTTTACACCAGTTTTTGTACACTTTACTAGCTTTGCGCGAAAGCTCGCTTTTCTGCTAATATGTCATCATTATTTACTTTGCGACAGAATGTTTGATTTATTGGTTGATTTAGTGTTCAGGATTATCTAAAAATCTTTTTCTAATAACTTGGCTGCCTTGCTTATTTTCTATCAACAGACAAAATGACGTCTTCCCCGAGTGTTTTAAGTAGCTCATAAACGAGATTCATCTTGGTGAACCTGAAAATATATAAAACGCATAACAACCAGAAACTTAGGATTACTGGGACTAAAAAATTTTATTTTATAAACATTGTTGAAATTAGAACCTCTCCTTGTACACAAACCACTATATATAAGATTGATAAGATTAAAATCTCAGAAATATGGCTACTAAAAAGTAAAAACAGCTTTGTCCTTTTAATTTGTTTCCCATAGTAACAAAATCTAATCAGTTGGAAAGAGGCCATCCGGTGAACTAACGAAGAAGAGGCACAGTCAAGAAACTGTAGGAGTTATCGAATTGGAGAGGGCAAAGTTACCCTTTAGAAGCTAGCACAACTTATATTAGACGTTAGAGTACTGAAAACAGCTGCCTTAATTATAAATCGGAATATAAAGTAAGAATTAAAAGGGCATTGATAAAATATGTGGGAAAGACTTTATAGGAATTATTTTCATGCTGTAACTGTCTTGAACTGCTGTTGGAGATAACAAAAACATGAAGACAAGACTGTGGGAAATTAGTTTAATTACAGTACTTTGAGTCCAGTTTACAAGACAGCATTCCAATTCTCCTGGTAGCCTTTATTTGTGCTTCAGATACGACTCCATCTTGAGACTAGAAGAAAATACATTTCGAAGATATGATAAAGTATGAGAGTGATATAGATCTATGAAATATGACCCGCCCCTAGGCAATTTAAAAAATACAGCGAGGCACAGCAATGTAAGAACTGTTTTTCAAAGAAGGAAAGGCATGGTAAAAAGCTAGGGATATAATATTTGAAGTTTATTCAATTATTTGGTAAACATGTAGTATGCATAGTAAATGACAGAACAGTTAAGCTAAACGATAGATGTTCCCTAGAATTGCCCCTTACATACAATGGATACGGAGATTCAGTATGAACTCTTAACTAACATAAAAAAATGCTTTTGTATTAAATTTGATTAGTAAACGATTTTGCTAAACATTATGTTGAATGGTAGCCAAAAACTATTTACCAGTGTTTTCGAATTTTCGATATCGTGAAACGTAAGTGACTGATAAAAGCAGTTACATAAATTTCTGTATAGCCGAATGTGATCATTTAATAAACCCATGCATTGCGTTGCTAAGATCGGATCAACAACCGATAAAAATTAGAGAGAACAAACAAACCTATGTGAATCACTAGTTAATCACATTATAGTGATACAAATGAGATATAAAGCCTAAATCTTTCACAAATCGTTTGTAAGCTGACCATTCATTTTCCGACTCATTTTCAAAGTTTGGTGTACGTCACAGTTTCAAAAATGTATGGTGAGTTTTGCGCCTCAACGTTTATTCTAACTTCATCTGACGATTGACTACACATGCTCAGAGAAGATAATAAAGGCGCATGTCTTTGACCCCAATTTATGCCTTACTGTCTAAACATTATTGCCTCATAGTTCTCTGGGATTCTACATTGTTAGAATGTGAAATCCTCAGGTTGTATCGTATCAATATCGATCTTTAAGTCGACTGCAATGTAATCCCACCGGAGATATATTGCTTTCGTGATATTGAATTGAACCGTTGTTTCTTAATATGTCAAATTATTCTTAGAGAAAGCTCTAAACCTTGCGGTTTTCAATATTCGCACACTGTTTCTTTGAAATTTTCACAGACTTCAGTAGCGCTCAAAAATTCCACCAATCTGCGGTCTTACAGCAAAATTCTTACTGATTCTTTGGAAACTAAAAACATTTATGACTATTGCGAAAGCTCCAAGAATTCACGGATATTTGGATATTGAGCTTTATGTAACTGTTGTTTTAGGAAGTGAACTTATGTTTTGAAATCTACTTTTTCGTTCCTTATACTCTGTAGCAATCCCAAATCTTTACGCCATTCGCTTCTAATTATGTTCCTCGGATTCTCTTGATCTAAAGTTTGTTTGGTCACTGGTTTTATTTATTGGGGTGGTTTAAAACTTAGGAGCATTTTTAGCGTTTTCTGGGCTGTTAGCTCGCCTCTTCTTTTATTCTTCTCTTGCTCAGTTCCTGTCACCCACCCTACTCTGTGTTCGTCCCTCTAGTATACAAGGTATATTCTGAATATACGCAAACCACTTCATAATCTTATCGAATTAGCGTTAACTACACTAAAATTTCAAGTTTACTCATACTTAGGAGTGTACAAATGTCTTGCAGTATGATAGTTGAGTAACAGATTATTGGTTTTCATCCCTACTCTCATTTAACTACCTAAATTTATTGATCAGTTGTCACTCTAAGTTTTCAATTCAAACGATATGACTAACGATGACATCTGTAAATAACTGTAATATTCAGTATTTTCAGGCCAGTTGTAAATATGTTTGTGAGAAATCGGTTCCGTCGTCGCCTACTTATAAGCTTGATATTCATTTCCGCTACTCAGAGTAAAAAATAGATTTGCTAGTAAGTTTTATTTCTTGAAGTAGGAAATCAAGGTCAATGACAATTAAACATAACGTAAATTAAGAAATAGACAATAACAATGTGCCTTTTGGTAATGTGATAAGAAGCCTATTTGAAGCGTTTTCCTTGGTGCGTATGCATTCACTTGTGAAGTTATTAGTGCTTAGTTTCAAATTTAATTTTTGACGGATTATGTCAGGTGATTGATGTTATTGGTTGTTAATTATCATCTGAAATTTCGTGCCATACACCTTACCATACAGGAGACTGAAAATACCTTTCAAATCGGCAAATACTTCTGTTCACCTCTGCTCGGCTATATTGAAGTATATGGCAAAGGCTGTTTGTTTTGTTCTTCAAAGGTGTCTTCGCTCACTACAAATGCATTTGTAGGTAGAACAAGCACTTCGGTTAGGAAATTCGGGATTGAGAATGAACATTAGTCCCATCTTTTTCTAAGTTAGTGTCACTAACAGAAGGAGTTCTAATAATAGTTTCCTTGATAAATCGAAATAGCTGTCTAATGTTACTTAATGCTTCTGCCTTTTCGATCTCTCTTGCTTTCGCCACCCACCACTGTTCGAGATCCTTGAGTGGGCTTTTTATTAGCGTGCTCTCAAGCTGACCCCGTTCCTGATCACGTTCGGAGCCAGATGGGATAAGTTTACGAGCATCTATCAAATCAGCGGATGCTACTGAAATCAACTGCTCCCCCCTAACCTTTTGGTTTACCTTACTGGCAGGTATCACTAGTGTTTCCACAGTTTTTTGGATATCATTTCAAGCATCACTTACATGACTGCCTAACTGTTTTCCATGTTGTTCCTGAATTATACGCTTGGTTTTGCTATCATCAAGTAGAACTTTGAAGGGTTTCTTTGTTGTATTTCTTACGTTCAGCCACACGCAGATAAATACGTGCTTGTACAGATGGGATAAGTTTTCGAGTATCTATCAAATAAATAGATGCTAGTGATATCCATTGCAGACGGTCACCATTATACGTTCTTTGTGTCACGACACCATAAGATTCACCCATATCTTTCAGTTTTACCTGGTCTACCTACTTCAGCAGTAAAGTAAGTCAATATAACTATATCGGGGCGCATAGCTTTTTGATGAAGGCCCAAAAACTCTTCGCAAAATTCGCTTTTTACTTCATGTGAGCTGTAGTCAGTGGGAGCGTAGGCAGAGATGACGAGGAGGTAACGGCGAGTGTCCCTATGTTTCCGAGTTCTTACAGTGCACAGGCAACTGTCTACTGAAATCCAGTGTAAGAGAGCTAGTTGTGGTTTAGAACTCAATGCCATACGTACACCAACGAGGCCATAGTAAGCAGTAGTTGGGCTTCCAAAAGCATGAATCTCGCCAGTTCTTTATCTTGACAGTACAAGGGTGAAGTGAATGATTTTACTCATAGACCTACTTCTCGATATAAAATTATCTTCGTCTGAAATTTCAGGAGTGGACCTTGTACCAGGGGATTCACTAGTTGACTTAGAATATGCTGATATAGTTCTACTTGATTGAAGACGCTAATAAAATGCAGTGTCTCTTGGCTAGCCTAAGCAACAGTGCAACCATGTTTGGAATGCGAATCTCTCCTTCGAAATGCAAAATGTTGCTTTGAGATTGGCTTGTATCAGCACCTGAACTATTGATAGGGAGTGAAGTAGTTGGGCGTATTGACCGCTTCACTGATCAGGGGAGCCTCATCAGTGATGATAGCCTGATGGGTAGCGAGACCTCAGAACGGATACAGAAGGCTCGATTCGAGTTTGCAAACTTGCCTTGCTTTTTGCGCAGGCGAGATATCCGTTTGTTAACTAAAGGACGAGTGTACTGCGCATCAGTTCACTCTGTCCGACTATATGGCTGCGAAACATTGCCGGTAAGAGAAGAGAACATTCGTAGTTTATTAGTATTCGACCATAGCTATCTCCGTAGCATTGCTCGTGTATCCTGGGACAACTGAGTAAGCAATGCTATATTTAGGAAACGGGTACTAGGTAGGAATGGCTGAGGTTGGGACTTATGATACGTATGCCTACCCAGCGGCTCCCTCGACGAGCTGTTTTATGTAGGAATAGGTTGGAAGAAAGCTAGGGGCGGTCAGACCAAAACTTTGCACAAATCTATGGAGTCACTGACAAGTGGACTGACTCATGTTGGTAGACATTAACTACCTGGTTGGGGTTCACGAGACGAAATTAACCATTGGTTATAGACCTTGAACGACATGGCTCAAAATCGTTTGCAATGGTGCAGATGAATCCACCTAAGGAGGAAGTCGGATTAGCGTTGGTCTGAGCGACCTGGGAGCGTTACTACGTAGCCCAAGGGACAACTGCTTGAGGCTGGTCACGCACGATCTTTTTATGGGAAGTTTCCGAGTTGCTAGCTCCGCTCTTCAAATGGCCTTACCGCCGGAGACGGAAATCCGTGGAGTAAGGTGAGGCGTGATAATTTTAGGGTTGACCTTTTCCAACCCCTTCCTTCCCATTGTTTTGTAGTGTAGGAGTAGGTTGGAAGAAAGTTAGGGTTGGCCAGACCAAAACATGGCAGAAATCCATGAAATCATTGACAAGTGGACTGAGTCATGTCGTTAGTTGTCGACTACCTGCTTAGGGTCCACGAGATGATAATTAATAATCGATGGTTAGATCTGTAATCAGTGACTTTATTTATTAGCACAATATCATGCCCAGAACTTTTCCAACATTTTCTCAATACAGCGCCCGTTTGTTCACTTTGGTTCGTTGAGGTAAACAACAAAGTTTTAAAACTTCAACTGCATCTGTAACTAACATATCCCCAGTGTCAGTATTATACATTTAGTGGCGTTGTTTCATGTGGCTGATGCTTACTATATGTTTGTAAGTAAACACTCATCACGCTTAACTTTCAACTTATTGTTTTGTATTTTTCCTTATTATACTTAAACAGTGTCGAAATTCCCATATTTTCTTCTTTTCCATGCACTATTGTCTTATTTATTGCTGAGAGTGTTCATTTTGCCGAATGTCTAATTTTTACACTTCCCTTGTGACTAATATTTTTTGGGTTCGCTATCACGTCTCTAAGAAGAGATCTATGATCCGAACTGTTGACATTGTTTAACTATCGAGCTGTACACATCATTTGTACATATTTTTTGTGAAGATGTTATTTCTCCTTTGGTTTCCATCATCATAACCTTGATGTGAAATCTGTAAATATTTGTTTAACACTAATTTATTTACCTATTTAGATAGTGTCATCACTATAACCTTTTTAATAATACTTTTTTAGATTCTTGTACTGGAAGGACAAATCTTCATTCATTTCAACTTACTACTGGATAAATGTCATCATATTAATTAAATGATCATTATTCATTGTAGTTAAACAACTACTAAATTGTTTTCAATCACAATCTTATGAAAATGTTTATCAAAGTCTGATATATGCAGTAAATGCTGTTTATGGTTAACCTTCCAAGTACAAAATTAGTCACTAATGTCATTGTTTAAAATTTGTGATATTTGGTCATCACAGCTGCATACAACTAATTTTGAGGATGGATTTTGTTTGAAGTTAAGACCTCTTCACAATTTGCATAAATCTCAATATTTCATCTTATTTGGAACTTCCTTTGGCATTTTGTCCATTTTCTTACCACGAGCTGTTGAGAATTCAGTTGGTGAAAAATCAAATGATAACTTACACAATTTTAATGATTTATGTCTCGAGTACAATACTGAGCATCCTATTTTATGCATAGATTGTGGTAATCTTGTCTCAGAAATGTTTCAATATCAACAAATAGTAGTCTTGCATTCACGAATGATATCTGTTTATGATTTCGCAAAATCTAATGATTCGTTTGAAGAATGTAGTGATTCTTTTCCACTAGAATCTTGGAAGTTAACTCCATTATTTAAACTTACTGTTGAAAAGGATTCATATACATTACTTCTTGGCAAATTTTTTGAACAAATTCAAACAGATGTTATCTGTGTTCAAACGGTTGACGCATCTCTCTACTTTTTCAATGAAAATGGAGAATTATTTCAAATAACTTTACCAAATATTCTTATACCTGGTCCTATAATATTTGTAAAATCAATCAATTCATTATTAACAGCTGCTTCAATAAAATTATATTGTTTTAGCTTTACATCTAATACTAAACACTCACAAATATTGCATGCTAATCATAAAAATATTTCATTAGATTGGTCGATTATTTTGGAAGAACCGATATTTAGTATGGAGAAAATTGATTCTGAAGTTAAAACTAATAAACACTATCCCTTATCCTATATAATTGCATTGGGGAGAAAACGAATTTTTCTTATCTCAGATACTGGTTCAATACTGTTTACTCGACGGATCGACATTCCATCCAGACAATTGTGTGTATATGGTTATTCAGAAGTAAATATTGATTCAATAAGAAACTCATCGTTCTCCAATATGCAAAGTCAAGTTTCTTGGGTGCCAAGGTTTCTGGTAACAACGGAGAAAAATCAGTTACTTGTATTTAAAGTAAGCAAATATAGTTTTTTCCGCAATAAGGATTTGTTTGTGACCAGTTTGGTCTCGGGCATGAGGATGGATGTTACTTCCCGGTTGCCCACACCACAGTAATGTTACATCACCAACCTTTCAAGCACATGTAAATTATTATTGGTTAAACTATACTGTAATACAATCTAGTAATTTGGGTGTACATCAAGCTCCCCTGTAATCATGATGATAAGTGGAGCAACATGAAGTAAATGATTTATTCAGTGTTGACATAAGTTCATCTTCAACGTGAGGTAAACTATAAGTATGTAATCCTATTACCACATAGCAATCGTTCCTCACATGAGAATAGTCGCACAGTATCATGAACTGAGTGGAGTTATGCTTGTACACTATTGGATCATGTCTCAGTGGTCTAGAGCTTGAGAGTTCTCACACGAGGCCAGAGATACTGGATTCGATTCCTACCTTCAGGGTCTTGGATATGGGAAGTTTGTGCGCATTTTTCTCAGATGTACTGACGACCTCCCAACTCCATTTTCTTTACCATTACTTTTTGTAACTCACCAAGCGCAGGTTTTAAGTATCTGGTTTTGATCTAACCTTTCTTAGCGAGGACTAATGTTAAAGCTCAGCTACCGACACTGGAGTAAATAGACCTTTAATCACAACCATCTCTCCACTTCCATTACTATTCTTCATTCTATATCTCTTGTTCAGTATGACTTATGCAGAATATTTTAAAATTATGCATTTCAGTTTGTTAGATATCTATTGTTCAATTAAATAAACTTTTCAAGTGAATCGAGATTTGATTGTATCCCTAGTCAAATCTAAACGTAGGAGCTTATCACATTTTTTAGCTTCAGGATAACTTTTAAACCGTTTGACTGATTTTGCAACTAATTTCACTAGATTTTTCAGTGTACTTACCAATGTTACATACATACACACTCATCATGCATCATCTAGTTGTTTTTTTGGCAAAACTCTTCACTAGATTCTTATCAACTTTTCAATGGTTATTATTTTTATTTGATTCATTGTGCTTGGACCTAGTTGACCTCAATTCCGTTTCATAATAAAATCCTCATTATCCATTTTATCAAATTATTCAATATCGCATCATCAAGAAAGTTAAATGAGTATGTCAACAAATGCCTTGTAGTTTATCTATAAATTTTTTCTTTCAAAATACAAATAAAAGTAAAGTTTTGATGATGGCTAGCAGTGGAATCCAGGACGCACGTTCAATTCTATTTGGGACTCGTCAGGTGGATATACCTGCATTCATCTTAACGTTCGAATGGTGGCTCGAACTCAGTACCTTTAGCTTCAAGCCCCCAACACGTTAGCTATTGAGTTCAGACGCTTACTAGCTTGTACAACAGATCTAAATTTTACTTCATTTGTAGGGGTTATTTAAATTTTCCCATCGTTGATATTAAGCACTATAGATGATCAGTCTCTGCTACCACATGTGCATCGTGAGCATACTACCTCAATATAGCCATTAATCACAAGCATTTTAATCGAAGTTTGCTGGTATGTGCTCGTTCTCTCTTCTTTCTATAAACAGAACTTTTTATTTAATGTACAGAAAGAGATCGAATCCGTCATATTTTCCGATAGTTGTGATAGCAAAAAAGACTACTCTCCAATATAAGCCCTTCATTTTACCATCGAATTGCAATATTTGATACTGAAAGACATACCTAATGGACCGTGTCGACCGCCTCACTTATCTTGAGAGTCTCATCAGTCCTGATGACCTGACGTCCGACTATCGTCACGGATACAGTAAACTCGACTGATTCCTACAAGCTTGTGTCACTTATAGCGTTGGCGAGATATCCATCTGTTAACCAAAGGATGAGTTTAATGCTCTGTAGTTCGCTCCTTTCTACATTATGGGTGTGAAACATGTTCAGTAAGAATAAAGGATAGTTGTGGGTTACTAGTATCCGATCATCTGTATATTTGAAGTATTGCTCGTATATTCTCGAATCATATAATAAGCAATTGTGGTATTAGGAAAAGGTTAATAGGTAAGTATGTCATATCAATTGATGAAGTAGTGAGTGTTTATCGGTTGGGGTGGTTGGGACGTGCGTATGTTTAACCACCAACTTCCTCGATGAGCTATGTTTTGTGATGCAGGAATAGGTTGGAAGAAAGCTAGGGGCGGCTATACCAAAACATTGCACCAGTTCATGAAGTCATTGACAACTGGACTGAGCCATGTTAGCATATGTAGACTACCTGGTTGGGATCCGCAAGGCAGTCGTAACCAATGGTTAGAGACTTAGAATGATATGTCTAAAAATCGCTTGCAGTGGTTCAGATGTATCCATTGTTTATCTTCTCTTGAATTATAATCTGAATTCCTCATGACTATTTTTGTGTTTTTAAATTTATTTCACCATATATTCGATTCCTAATCTTTTTGATTACCGCTAATACTTCTACTACCTGTACTACTATGGAATTCGGATCGACAATTCGATCTCTGTGCTAATGTGATGTGGCGACTCGAATTAACGTACGTACTTACTAAGTTCTATATTGCAGGTGACTAGCTGATTGGCTTACATGTCCGAAGTGCAAATAACGTGTACTTGTTATATTCATCAACGGAGTATGATATAAGACATTTATTTGGCTATCAGTAACTTCAAAGCTCAATATAATTTTACTGTCAAAAAGGTATAGGTCAGTCAGTCATGAGCAGCGTAGAACCTAGCATATATACATTGGGTCATTTTGCCAACCCATATCATCACAGAGAAATGAAATCAAGGAAAATGTCAGACTTGTAAAGGTAAGAGTACTGTTGATGAAAGTGGAAAAAAAATTAGGTATAGGCAATAAAAAGAAAGGGGAAAGAATGGATTCATGGAGAAGAAAAGTGTACGATAATTTTAAAACCCAATGTCCAAGGGTAGATAAGATGTAAATGAATGTGTGCTATTACGGCCCATTCCTAGCCGATTCATCGAATATCTCCAATCACTTATCACCATAAATCTCCTGGACTCCAACTAAGTAGTCCACACCTATCAACGCGACTGAAATCAACAGTTAATGACTTTATGAACTGATGTCACATATCGGTCTAATCATATTTAAATTCCTCTTAACATTACTCCCTATACTAGCGAACCACGTATCAAGGTAGGCTGTAGTCATACATAGTAACTAACCTATCTCATCAACCCATTCACCATCTTTATTTAGCACCTTATGTATCGTTTTATAAACATTAACGATGTACTTTTACTTAATTTTAGGGTACACAACTTTTATGGTCTGCATTGTTATCGTTTGGTGCAATTTACATATCCATGCCTATGTTCACAATGGAATCAAATAATTATCAGGGTCAAACACTTCCAGTTATTGGATTAAATTTTTCATCTGGTCTAATTGTTGTACTTAATAAAAATGGGCGAATCACTCTGTCATATCTTGGCACTGATCCATCTAATTCCGTCGTCCCAAATATCATGAAATTAAATCAGAATGGTCACAATTATTCAAATAAAGTCGATTCTGTTCAATCACAATTGAACAATGAAAGTTTCAATGAAGAAATCCTTCAAGTAAATAAACGTGTTGATCAACTATTAAAAGATCGTTCATCTTCATCACTCTCTAACAATGATCATAAAAAGACTAATTTCGCAAAAGTTTCTCTTCCGAAGTTGAAAACAGCTGTTCGTTTGAATTCAAATCGACTGAATGCAGATGTGAATGAATTATGCTTTATTGATGTCGATATTGAATTTCCAAAAGTGTATTCTAAGAAACAATTTAATTCTGTTTATCTATTAATTCATTCTTGTCCACCAATTATCATAAAACCTAATTATATAGAAATTTTTTCTAATGATTTGAATAATTATAATTTTATTTCAATCAATCATAATAATTCATATAAGTATTCATATACATTAACGTGTAATATTGTGAATCAATGCACAGATGAAGAAAATGAAACATCATCATTGATAATTGATCAACCGCCATTAGATATAACTGTAGTTTTAATGTTGTATTACACTTTCACCCCTTTAAACAATGCCAGTAATAATACCAATGAAGAAATCAATCCGTCAACTACTGATTATTCAATGTCGTTTATGTCTCATTCAGTTACGAATTGTATTACACATTGTATCAAGCTTCCATTAATCTTGTTTACTTCTAGTACCATTGTACATAAAGATCAAATCACTGGGAAATTTTCTTTAGTTTTTCAACTAATAACAAATTTGAATAATCATTTAAAAAATGTACATTTATTTGATTTATTCCCAAATTTTTTGACTAAAAATAATACTACTGATTATAATAATAATACTAATCATAATATACCAAATAACTCTACAATATGTATATCATTTTGTAGATTGAAACATATCAAAAATACTAATCAACAGTGTATTTATATTACAGTTAGATGCAAAAAAACACTCAAATTTAAACTACAAACTGATCATCCTGAAACATTTTGGCCAGTTTTACAAGAATTCATATTTTATAATAATCTTGTTGCAAAACAAAAAGCAGACTGTCATACAAATGATTTCTGCATTGTATTATATACGAAAAAAACTAGAAAATTTATCAATGCCAATAATTCTTTACCTCCAAAATCATCATCATTATCATTGGAATTTGATAATTACACTTGTCAACTTAAAATATTCTTCGATAAATTACATGAATTGTTAGAGAATCATGTAAACAAACGTTTAGAACTAGTCAACCAAATTCATAAGCTTACTATACAAACTAGGCATTATCGTGCTGTTCAACAAGAAGTGATTGAAAAAATTAAAATTATTCAACCGAATTGTTTAAATGGATTTGATGAATTATTAAAAAAAGATATCATTAATTTAATGCGTACTTGTGATTTACTTGACTTATTAACAATAGAATATTTTCAATCTGGTTATTCTGTAATATCGTTAATTATTCTATTAAGTTTTATTTGTTTATTTTGCATACAATCATCTTCTTCGTCATTGTTACCGGTATCATTTGAGTTTTTTAAACTTGCAAATGAATTCGCTCTATTCAAACCGGCACATTTATTAACCATGCTACATTCAACAGTGTTATTAGAAAATATTCATAGTACAGAGTTATCTGAATCCATTTTATCCGGTGAATTTGATAGACAGAATTTTCATCATGTCGATTTTGAACAACATTTACAGGCTGAAATAAATTATTTTTTAGAAATCATTCAATCCAATCATATTGATTCAAATGAACCGTATAATAATTCATTAATTAATAATTGTCAAGATTTTTTAAAAAGTTATAATCGTTTATCAACGGCTAAGTATATTTATGAACAGTTTTACAAACTGTGTAAAAAATTTATGTCCTGTGATCATAAAGAAATTAAACGTTTAATTAATTTCATCAATCGATAACTAACTCGCTTTGTTTTTTTTATAGCTTAATTATTTTGGAGTGTTTGTTTTATCAACCTACTTATCAAGTGTTGAAATATAATTAACAAAGTCTTTCATTGTATCATTTCCAATAATATTGAGAATAACAGTAGTAGTACAATTGTTTTTTGTATTTTATTTTATAATTATGATTTTCCTTCTTTCTAAATATTGATGAGTAGTTTTTCCATGAAGAACTTAATACTTGTGAGCATATAATTATGTCCAATTTTTATATGAATAAACGTACTTATGAATATTAAAAACGACTTATTTACACTAGATTATCGTCAAAATATATATCTGATTGAAAATCAAACAGTTAAGGCTCAGAGATTAGGCTAAAAAAATTTTCAAATCCATAGAATATTATTGAGCTGTACAACGTTACCGAACTTATGATAGCGGAGTCCCACTCACAATTTATCACTAGTAAATATTACCACCATGAAGATTGAGCAGCATATTCTCATGTATTAAGAGGTACAAGCAACGATAAGAAGTACTAAAGTGAAAATAAATAGCAAATTGTAATATTATTGGACATAAATCGGTGTACACATACGGTTATAACGCTCTCTGAATCATTCCCAGCTAATTCCTATTGCTTTGTGTTCTCTGACAAAAATACACTCGACAAGTCCCAAACTCAGAACACGGTGGAACAGGAAAAGATTATATTACAAATAGAAAGCTTAAATAGAAATAAAAAAGCCGAAGAGAAGTCAAAATAGATACAACGTTAGTATCTCTATAGTTTTTAAATGAGAAGCTTCTGGGATGTAATCCATGTGATTGAATAGCTCTAACAAGATAATATATAGCGAATCAGCGCGCATCTAACAGCAGTGAATAGTTTAGCATCCTCTGCAAAGGACGGACAGGCGTCCGTCGCGAAGGAACTTATACAATCAGAGCGAGGCTAACGCGCTCATTGTTTGACGCAACTACGTCCGAAACATCGAACAGAGTAAAAAAACAAAGAGCAAGAAAAATAAAATTCGAAAAATTATCAAGTAGCAGGCACTCAGTAAAATCTCAGACTCCCAAAAAATTTTAAAATTAAACAGAGGAAATCGTCATCGACGATTCGCCGAAATCATCTGGGCGATTCGTTTCCGCATGCCTCTCTATTCCACTGGATACCGATTAGTCGCGACATTGCAAACAATGACGGGAGTGTCAAGTCAAGACACACACCATCATCACGATCACGTCGGACTGCGACGATATCGTTTCTCGCGACAACACCGACTCACAGGCCAGATTGGACGTGTCAGCCGCAGACCAGACAACAGCATAGTGAACACTGACTGAGTCGAAACAATGCCTATCTTGGTTGTGATGGTTAGTGTGGTTGAGCGAATGCGGGTGAGATATTCGACGGTCGGTTAGTTGGTGTGGGAATGACTTGACTGTATGTCAACTCAGTGAATGTCAGTACAGAGTGATTAGTTGATGATTGGTGTTGGTTGGCGAACTGACCAGTCGGTGTGTTGTTGATGAATGTGTGGGTGCGTATGTATATGGGTCGTAGTGTGGTATGATGTGTGCGTGTTAGGCAATTAGTTCAGCTGGTGTTCAGTGGTGTCGGTATGTGTGTTGTGTTGATGTGGTGGTGTTGTGGTCTGATGATGTTTGTGTGTGTGTGTGTCCGTTGTAGTTGGTGTCTGTGCAAGTGACTGAGAGTGTATTGGTGAGTATGCGAAGCGTCGTATGCGACAATCAGCTGGGATGGCCGAGTGGTTAAGGCGGTGGACTTAAGATCCCCTGGGGTGTATCCCCGCGTGGGTTCGAACCCCACTCCCAGCAAGCGGCTTTTGAGGCCACACCACTGCTCTGCCATCATCAACCAGCATCCCTCACTGTGACAACACCGTACACACTGCCAGACCTTCACATCTCCACACCGACTCTGTCCACGCGTGTCCACTGTGTCGGCGCAGAGTTGTCGCGTGTGCAGTGCGTTCCACCTGTGACCCGACCGCTTTCGACAATTCAACGGCATGTGACTTCTGGCATCGGTGCGCTGTTCACAATTTCTCGTGGTCACGAGCAGACCGTTCGTCGTGCAGTCGCATCTGCAGTCTTGATGCAGCTGCGTCGACTGAGTCACTCACTTGTATTGCATGTGTCCCGTGTGTGCATGTCGCACAAGTCACTCGATTCTCCGGTTGGTCGGCACTCAACACTACACTCTCATCACCGTCCGGTCGAGTGAAAACCGACAGTTCCGATAGACACATCAGTGTTCTCGAGTCCTTCCATTGTGACCTGTTGTGCAATGTTGTCGTTGTTGATGTTGGTGTTGTTGCGAGTTGAGCAGAATGAGTGAATTGGTTGAGATGGATTCTGTCGCAGGTGTTATGGTCTCAGACTGTGCGAACTTGTGAGTGTTGTGAGTGGAGATGCTCGACCGTCCGAATTGTTCTGGGCGATTCGTTTCCGCATGCCTCTCTATTCCACTGGATACCGATTAGTCGCGACATTGCAAACAATGACGGGAGTGTCAAGTCAAGACACACACCATCATCACGATCACGTCGGACTGCGACGATATCGTTTCTCGCGACAACACCGACTCACAGGCCAGATTGGACGTGTCAGCCGCAGACCAGACAACAGCATAGTGAACACTGACTGAGTCGAAACAATGCCTATCTTGGTTGTGATGGTTAGTGTGGTTGAGCGAATGCGGGTGAGATATTCGACGGTCGGTTAGTTGGTGTGGGAATGACTTGACTGTATGTCAACTCAGTGAATGTCAGTACAGAGTGATTAGTTGATGATTGGTGTTGGTTGGCGAACTGACCAGTCGGTGTGTTGTTGATGAATGTGTGGGTGCGTATGTATATGGGTCGTAGTGTGGTATGATGTGTGCGTGTTAGGCAATTAGTTCAGCTGGTGTTCAGTGGTGTCGGTATGTGTGTTGTGTTGATGTGGTGGTGTTGTGGTCTGATGATGTTTGTGTGTGTGTGTGTCCGTTGTAGTTGGTGTCTGTGCAAGTGACTGAGAGTGTATTGGTGAGTATGCGAAGCGTCGTATGCGACAATCAGCTGGGATGGCCGAGTGGTTAAGGCGGTGGACTTAAGATCCCCTGGGGTGTATCCCCGCGTGGGTTCGAACCCCACTCCCAGCAAGCGGCTTTTGAGGCCACACCACTGCTCTGCCATCATCAACCAGCATCCCTCACTGTGACAACACCGTACACACTGCCAGACCTTCACATCTCCACACCGACTCTGTCCACGCGTGTCCACTGTGTCGGCGCAGAGTTGTCGCGTGTGCAGTGCGTTCCACCTGTGACCCGACCGCTTTCGACAATTCAACGGCATGTGACTTCTGGCATCGGTGCGCTGTTCACAATTTCTCGTGGTCACGAGCAGACCGTTCGTCGTGCAGTCGCATCTGCAGTCTTGATGCAGCTGCGTCGACTGAGTCACTCACTTGTATTGCATGTGTCCCGTGTGTGCATGTCGCACAAGTCACTCGATTCTCCGGTTGGTCGGCACTCAACACTACACTCTCATCACCGTCCGGTCGAGTGAAAACCGACAGTTCCGATAGACACATCAGTGTTCTCGAGTCCTTCCATTGTGACCTGTTGTGCAATGTTGTCGTTGTTGATGTTGGTGTTGTTGCGAGTTGAGCAGAATGAGTGAATTGGTTGAGATGGATTCTGTCGCAGGTGTTATGGTCTCAGACTGTGCGAACTTGTGAGTGTTGTGAGTGGAGATGCTCGACCGTCCGAATTGTTCTGGGCGATTCGTTTCCGCATGCCTCTCTATTCCACTGGATACCGATTAGTCGCGACATTGCAAACAATGACGGGAGTGTCAAGTCAAGACACACACCATCATCACGATCACGTCGGACTGCGACGATATCGTTTCTCGCGACAACACCGACTCACAGGCCAGATTGGACGTGTCAGCCGCAGACCAGACAACAGCATAGTGAACACTGACTGAGTCGAAACAATGCCTATCTTGGTTGTGATGGTTAGTGTGGTTGAGCGAATGCGGGTGAGATATTCGACGGTCGGTTAGTTGGTGTGGGAATGACTTGACTGTATGTCAACTCAGTGAATGTCAGTACAGAGTGATTAGTTGATGATTGGTGTTGGTTGGCGAACTGACCAGTCGGTGTGTTGTTGATGAATGTGTGGGTGCGTATGTATATGGGTCGTAGTGTGGTATGCTGTGTGCGTGTTAGGCAATTAGTTCAGCTGGTGTTCAGTGGTGTCGGTATGTGTGTTGTGTTGATGTGGTGGTGTTGTGGTCTGATGATGTTTGTGTGTGTGTGTGTCCGTTGTAGTTGGTGTCTGTGCAAGTGACTGAGAGTGTATTGGTGAGTATGCGAAGCGTCGTATGCGACAATCAGCTGGGATGGCCGAGTGGTTAAGGCGGTGGACTTAAGATCCCCTGGGGTGTATCCCCGCGTGGGTTCGAACCCCACTCCCAGCAAGCGGCTTTTGAGGCCACACCACTGCTCTGCCATCATCAACCAGCATCCCTCACTGTGACAACACCGTACACACTGCCAGACCTTCACATCTCCACACCGACTCTGTCCACGCGTGTCCACTGTGTCGGCGCAGAGTTGTCGCGTGTGCAGTGCGTTCCACCTGTGACCCGACCGCTTTCGACAATTCAACGGCATGTGACTTCTGGCATCGGTGCGCTGTTCACAATTTCTCGTGGTCACGAGCAGACCGTTCGTCGTGCAGTCGCATCTGCAGTCTTGATGCAGCTGCGTCGACTGAGTCACTCACTTGTATTGCATGTGTCCCGTGTGTGCATGTCGCACAAGTCACTCGATTCTCCGGTTGGTCGGCACTCAACACTACACTCTCATCACCGTCCGGTCGAGTGAAAACCGACAGTTCCGATAGACACATCAGTGTTCTCGAGTCCTTCCATTGTGACCTGTTGTGCAATGTTGTCGTTGTTGATGTTGGTGTTGTTGCGAGTTGAGCA